CGACGAAGCACTATGATGGAGACTATGAATGCAAAACTCGAATCTTAGCTCATATCACGTTATGCTCATCGCGTACTGACCATAGTACAAACCAGACCAGTGAAAAAGTGAAACTTTCTTGTACACTGATACTACTCGCATATTTGATGCTCTTTTATTACTCTTTTTTCCTCACTAGGACCGCAAGGACGGGTATTGCGGAGTGGCCTATCGTGTGACGGAGCCTGGAGAGTACCTGTGCTCCATTCGTTTCAACGATGAACACGTCCCTGGCTCTCCATTCAGAGTGAACATCAACGAGTCAATTGAACGCACCTTCTATGCATCCGATGTTAGACAACTCAGTGTTGCTGCCGTGCAAGACCGAGGACTTCAGGTAAAACTTAGCCCTTGTCTACCATTTGAGCATGTCTGGCAAGAATGTTTTATCACTTTTAGCACAATTGCTCAAGCAATAAATTTCAGCATTTTAAAACTACTAGATATGTGTCTACACTGGTAACTAGTTTGAATCCATCGGAGTTTTCAGCGTGTATGTGTTTGTACCCCTATCGTTTAACTGGAGTCCTGGCAACAAAGTTATATCAAGAGCTGCATTGCCATAAGACCAGTTCACCAGGTCTCCTCTGAAGTATATGTAATGTTAACAGGTGCATTTCAGGAATCGCTAGCAAGGTTATTTAATAGCGTTTCTATGACCCATTAAGTTAGAAGATTCACTATCTCGAGAGTCTTCTGGTGGTTACCAAAAGGGCTATCCTGAATTAACTGGCCTCAAGTCATTATTCGGATTCGTGTAAGTCATTTGAGCAAAGTTATGTTATTTGAGTTTTCATTTCCTATAAAGGGCTGTGTTGGAGGATATGATAATTGGCCTCACCAAAAGCCGAGGGAAGATTGCCTTGAAGTTATGATTTACGATTTGACCAAAGAAGACCTCGGCACAGCTTCTTTCTTCCCCAATGGCATGTAGAGTCTAATTACATACAATTACTGAGATTCTCCCAAACTCAATTATTCATCCCATTTACTATGCGGGTTTGGTTCGATCTTGTTTTCGCAACTTGGTCGGAGCGTCATGGAGACCTTATGGAATGTACCTAGCCCTATGTCCTCTCCAATAGCATTCGTGCTGTTTAGCTTCGGACCATCTTGGTCTTCGCATCTACGATTGAATGTGCTATTTTTGTGCAAAAGACGCTGTTGCGATAAGTCGTCCCTACTGCTAAGTGTACACGGAGGCTCTGAAACAAGGAATAGATCAAGATCGTATAAACCGTCTTATGAGGTAATTCGTTTGTACTTGAGCCTGAGAATCTATGAAAATATGATCTAGATTGGTGGAAATCAGCATAATCTTTTGCAGAAAATTATTGGTTAAAATGGGCAAACTTTTTTTACCTTGATTGGAGTCCAGAGAAGGTATAACTGGGAGTCAACAAGATAATAGCAAGTGGAAAGTATAACATCTGAAACTCATTGTTAGAGGGACCTTCATTTCGTATGAAAGTGCATGAAGAAGAGATTCGTTGGTCGATCTCACC